CTTGTGTGACTGTTTTTATCTTCCAACACTCATGGTATAAAGTTACATAGTATGTATGACTGTCTTTGTTTTTCATTATTGATGTTAGGAAAACATGTAGGTTCCAGAAGTCTTGATAGAAATTAATAAAAACCCTATAACCCAAGCACTTACGAAAGGTGGACCTATCCTCTTTATGGGGCAAATTGAAGAAGAAAGGTCCACCTTTCAAAAGTGCTCAGGTTATAGGGTTTTTATTCATTTGTTTTTCATTAATCAGTGTAAAAGTATGTATTATGTTACAGCTGAAGCTCAGCTACAAGAAAGATCTTCTCTTCTTAACCTGCAACAGCTTCTGAATTACACTTGTGAAGTTCTAGGCCTTTGGAAAGTGCTCTGTGACCACCAGTTTCACATTATAACGGGAATGTTATCGAAGGTACAACATGAACTTTGATTTAGTAGTAATGTTGTTTATCAGAAGTCTTTCTCTAACCTACTACATGAAACATGTACATGATTTATATTATTTTCCTCATTACATGAATAATGTTGTATGGAATTGAGTTCTGTTTATAAAATCATTAATGTGGTTTTATTGATTTCAAAATTTTCAACGATGTTCCAAGCCATTTTAAGTAGCTGCAATAGGAAAATCTATCATTTCTGTTTCATACAAAATTTGTCAAGAGGTTTGTTTGATTGTTACATATTTTCGTTATTACAGAAAAAAAAGCTCAGAATTAAAAAAATATTATCATTTGTCTTATAAGATTTACATGTAGCATTATGAAATTTGTATTTTAAATTTTATTTCAGGACTTGCAAAATCAGATGAAAGTACTAACATGTAGAGACTTTATTTGTAATGGAAGAGAGGTTAGTAGAAACTTTTTTGAATCTTTTACATGTAGTTTTAAAGCTATTTTAAGTTAAAAATGTACACAAAATTTTTATTACTCATGAAGGACTGTCCTGAAAAACACTTAATGCCAAATACTGTAGATTTTGTTTATCTCTTCTTTACATTATTTTGTAAAAATAAGTCAGTTATCATACATGGAAGCTGAAGCTTTGAAAGGTATTGTAGACTTTACTTATGTCTTCATCACATCTTGTGATAGTACTTCACTGTAAGATATGTTGGTACTTCACTGTAGATATGTTGGTACTTCACTGTAGATATGTTGGTACTTCACTGTAGATATGTTGGTACTTCACTGTAAGATGTGTTGGTACTTCACTGTAATATATGTTGGTACTTCACTGTAAGATGTGTTGGTACTTCAGTGTAATATATGTTGGTACTTCAGTGTAAGATGTGTTGGTACTTCAGTGTAAGATGTGTTGGTACTTCAGTGTAAGATGTGTTGGTACTTCACTATAAGATGTGTTGGTACTTCACTATAAGATGTGTTGGTACTTCACTATAAGATATGTTGGTACTTCACTGTAAGATATGTTGGTACTTCACTGTAGATATGTTGGTACTTCACTGTAAGATATGTTGGTACTTCACTGTAAGATATGTTGGTACTTCACTGTAAGATGTGTTGGTACTTCACTGTAAGATGTGTTGGTACTTCAGTGTAAGATGTGTTGGTACTTCAGTGTAAGATATGTTGGTACTTCAGTGTAAGATATGTTGGTACTTCACTATAAGATATGTTGGTACTTCACTATAAGATATGTTGGTACTTCACTGTAAGATGTGTTGGTACTTCAGTGTAAGATGTGTTAGTAATTTACTGTAAGATATGTTGGTTCTTCACTGTAAGATGTGTTGGTGCCTCATTGTAAGATGTGTTGGTACTTCATTGTAAGATGTGTTGGTACTTTTTATTTATTAACTCTCTCAACATGGGCTCGGTCAATTTGACTGACCACGTGACCTCTTTGTACTCATTTAAAGTCTTTATGGATTTAATACTTCTAACTTTCAATATAGTTAGTATATCTTCATAAAATTTGACAGTCTTTCAGTAAATATTATAAGTCTTTCACAAACAAAAAATCATATTTTTAGTGAAGTATTTTTAATAAAATAAAGATTTATCCACGAATATATCGAGTATTTGCTTTGAATAGTCCATGTGGAAAGTAATTTTTCACATTAAAATTAAAAATACTTTTCCTTATCTCAAAAATCTCAAATTTCCTTTGTGTAATCTATAAAACCTCCTAAATACATTTCAAACATTTTTTATCAGTGAAACTGTATTGTTAATCTGTTACTTTCTCTACTATATCTTAAAACGGGATTGCTCAATTTGATTAACCTCATAACCACCAAAAAAAATTTTAAATAAACTGAAATTAACCTTTTTTTCTTTCTAGAATGACTTCAAATTATAATATGAAACTACACTCATTTATCCCAAGTAGCTCTAAGTTTGTAACAGTATACATCTATTTATAATAAAATTTTATTTTCTTATTGCCCTTTGAACCGTGTCTAACTACTATCGGTGCCATTGTAAGTTGTAAATCACTTGGGGAATGTGCAGCTCACGTTACACTAATGAATTACATTACCCATGAGCTGCTCGTTTGTGTGCCTAATGAAACATCTTGATTATTATTATTTATTTTACATAATATAATCTTAACTAATTTAAAAGGATCCTTATTTTTTACATTTCAGTTACTTTCATAATTATACATAAAGAATAAACATGAAAAACAAGAAATACAATACTTAACCAATCTTCTTTTTTTCTTGCTGTCGGTTTTTGAAGAGAGTTAACCCTAATTATTTTATATAATCATGATAGTGATGAACTTACCAATTTTTATTTAATTAAATAATGCACCAAAGAATATAGAACTAATAATATGCTAAAAGTAGACAAATTCCCTTACCTCTCAAAAATTTTCTGGCTTTCTAACTACGTGACAAGAGCCATTACAAATTTGTCCAAGATAGTCCTTAACTTTCCCTTGAGAACGATGATGGTACTCTGAGTGAAACTGACATCTAACTGTTCAGAACATAGCATTATACAATATGCCATTTGATAGATGAAAACCGTGATTTTCTATTGGTTATAGGTAATATATAATGAAACATAAGAGAGAATTATCAATGAATTCTGAAAGAGAGGATGTGATAGGTGGGTGTGGCTGGAAGGTTCTGAATTTCTATTCGATAGCTCTGTAACTAAACAAAATTGAAGACTATAAAAATTATGGTTTGCCTGAGGAATAATGATTTTATTGAGAGTAATTTACGTTTAATTTTGTACTTTTTCGAGGGGTGGTGGATAAAATAGGGATGATGAAATGCTAAGAGAAAAGGTGTCACGTGGACCACACTAGTGGAAATTCAGGATTTTAAAAAAATATTTTCTTGTACAGTTAAAAACTTAAAACTTGTATACTATTAAAATATGGATTATTAGTTAAGATTTTATGCTATTCTAATTGGTATAACATAAACAAAAAGTAGTTTAATAACATTTTGAATGTAAGACACTAAAACCTTGTGTCATGTGCAGTAAAGGATACCTATGGCGATAGGGTTAATGGTTTTAGTTTAAAAGATGGAACAGTCAAGATGGAACAATAGGTCCCATGTTGTTTCAAAATATTATGTTATTTGTTGATACATTACTGCCACACTTGCTGATACTTTACTGACAGATTTGTTGGGACTTTACTGCTACACTCATTGATACTTTACTGCCAGATTTGTTGGTACATCTATACTTGTTGATACTTTACTGAGACTCTTATTGATACTTTACTGCCAGATTTGTTGGTACAGCTATACTTGTTGATACTTTACTGAGACTCTTATTGATACTTTACTGCCAGATTTGTTGGTACATCTATACTTGTTGATACTTTACTGAGACTCTTATTGATACTTTACTGCCACATTTATTGATACTTTACTGCCAGACCATGCTACAAAATATAAAGAAATAGCAGGTTGTTACATTTCTTTAATTACAAGAGGAGTTTCTGCAAGGTGAGATTTTTTCTGTAAATGTAGTATCTCATTGTTCAGATGTGCAAATTATGTAAGATACTGTTTATGAATGTGTTATTGTTTTGTCAGCCCACTTATGATATCTCATTGTTCAGATGTGCAGATTATGTAAGATACTGTTTATGAATGTGTTGTTATTGTTTTGTCAGCCCACTTATGAATATTAATGGTTTCTTGTGGTACAGGTTGCTGGAGCTCTAGTCACTGCTCTGATCAATAGATACTTAGATGACAATGCTACAACAGATGCCATCAGTGGCCGTCTCAGAGAAGTTTGTCCTTCAATCTTCAAAGTAGAAGATGCTGTATTTTCAAAGGTGAGACAACATTCAAAACCACTTAGTCCTTACTGTTCTGTATAAACATGTACCAGCTGGAAGTGCTGGAGGTAGACTTTCATACTTAGTGCTTACTGTGCATATATAAACATATATCACCCAAAAGTCCTGAAGATGGACTTTCATACTTAGTCCATTCATGTGTGGGATACTTTTTGCAATATTCTTGTTTAGTATAATTTGTTTCATGTGCTTTTTTCTTCACTTTGGGGGTAGATGACATCTTGTGTGCCATATAAGTTGTGTCATATTTTCCATTATCAGGTGTCACCAACACATACACAGGAACAAGTATACAACAAAATATTATTCATCACAAGGTGTTACCAACACATACACAGGAACAAGTATACAACAAAATATTATCATCACCAGGTGTTACCAACACATACACAGGAACAAGTAATATTTGTTGTATACTTG